GACATTGTGCTCTGGAGGAAACAATTTGTATCACTCTTGCTACGGATATAATTTGTAATCTGGAATTTTTTGCATACCTTTTTAATATGTATTTAATTGCGGCTCGTGAAAAATTTAAAATTTTGAAAAATGGCTCGGACTATCAAGGAGCTTGGCCACCCTGGATATATACTTTATAAAGGCATATCTGTTTGGAAATAAAATGTTTTATTTAAAACAATAGATGTAATATATGTTAGAGCATCACTTCTTCAATGTTTTGTTTTCACAGACTGGTACTTTTGTGAAATTAAATAAAAAATACTGTAATTATAAAAGGACTGGTCTGTGTATGACAGTTTGAGTGGCATTGTGTTAGAGCATACAGATGTGAAGTTAAATCTGTCACAGACAAAGTGTCAAGTTAGCCCTTAAACTTATTTTTAAGTTTCTTTTTAATGAATTGTTTGTTAGTAAGTAGTTAAAACAAGTGTTAACACTCTGTCCCCACTTTATCATAAAATAATATACAATTAATTTTGATACTTTCATAATAAGAAAGCACCAAATTCACTTATTAATAAAATAAACCATGAGCAATGAAGCTCAGAATGAATTAAATGAACTTATACAGGTAAGACAGAGTTATATTACAGAGCCCTGATGAGTTGAACATTATGTCATTTGTGTACTGATTCAAAAATTTTAATTAAAAAAAATTAAAATAATATATGCAATGCCATTATTAAATAATACAAGACTAAAATGCAAAAGAATAGAATTTGTTAGAGAAAAATATATATGATATGAAAAATTTAATATAATTTCAATTCTAAGGATTCTAGAAAAGTTTTAAGGCTGCTACACAAGTAATTTTATAATATTATTTATTTTGTTTTTTCTTTTTTGTTTTTACGGAGTTAATCTTGAAAAATAAATCATCATCAAATCTTAAGTAGATGGATTTTGTTGTAAAATGCTACAGTACTATTGGAAATAACAAGTGCAATGTTTATCAAACTGTGGTCTGCAGTCTCTTCGTAATCCGAAAAGTTTTCACCAGGGCTGTGGAGTCAGAGTCAGAGTCGTGGAGTTTTGGTGTTTTAGCTGGAGTCGGAGTCGGATGGTAAGGAAAAGTCAGAGTCGGTAGATTTTTACGCGACTCCACAGCCCTGGCAGGATTGTGGAGTCGGAGTCGTGGAGTTTTGGTGTTTTAGCCGGAGTCAGATTGGTAAGGAAAAGTCGGAGTCGGAGTTGGAGTCAGTAGATTTTTACGCGACTCCACAGCCCTGGTTTTCACGAAATACATCAGAGATGTCATGTGGCTGACATGAGTGACATTTCAAGATAGTCACATGATAAAGTGGAGTTCTGTGACAGATTTTGTATGTATCTGCCATCCAGTGTGATACTTTATGACAGAAATGAGCTTAAGCAATTGCAACCCTAATGCTACCGAGTTGTTGAGTAGTCCTATGGTATTTTGTTTATAGCATTTTTTATATGCATTGGTAACAAAAATTATGTGTTTTAAAAATATCTTATCAAATATGTGTTTTCAAAGAAACTTAAAAGAAATTGTGTAATGCTAAGAATCTATAGTTTTACTACACTTTTTTAGAATAAAGCCTTCCTGTTGCTAGATGACAGTTGGATAAAATCTGGAACAATCCCAGAACATTATACATTAAACAGTATAATATTTCACACATAATATTAAATATATATTCATTTATATAAAATACACCACAATATTAGTACATTTTGGCTTTTATTTAACTGAACTGATATAAAGACTTTTTAAACTCTGTTCCTCAGACATAGGAGGATCTGTTGGGCAATGAGATTTTAAATGTTTTATTCAGGAACATAACAAATATATTTAGTGGTTTACAGTGGTGCATGTATTATGTGGTGTTGTTATATGTTAAATAAATTTAACATCATTGTGGATTAGCCAGTTCCAGAATGGGACCTTGACATATATGGGTTGATTCTCTCGTGGAAATCTCTCAGGCTTCATTCTGGACTTAAATCTAGTCAAGGTTAGCTCAAAAGAGTAGGCTAATACCTTTACTGCTTTAGTCATCTGGCTATTAATGAAAACATATTTTTGGATAAGAAGTTATATTATTCTGATATCTACTAGTTGTATCCAGCAAAATATTTGCTGTAAAAAATTGTTAACTTACAAATAAATAGGGAAAATAAAGAAGCAAATAAAATTATTCACAAAATATTTATCAACATAACACTTATGAAATTTTTGGTATACAACATTTTCTGTTTTAGTCATCTGGCTATTAATGAAAACATATTTTTGGATAAGAAGTTATATTATTCTGATATCTATGGGTTGTATCCAGCAAAATATTTGCTGTAAAAATTGTTGTTATCTAATTACTTCAAATGAAATTATACAGTGAAATTGATGCAATAGGGCTCACTATATTAAATAAGCTTCAAAATGATGTACTGTATAAAATGTAAATGTTAATTTATATGCAAGTAACTTAATGAATTGGAAATAGATTTTGGCTTAGTGCATTCTGTATTTATAGATACATAAAACATTATTTTATTATTTACAAAATTAAATAATTGATAAATTTAAATGTTTTGATAAAGCTAATTTAATTTATGAATAGGTAGTATTAGTTTTCTCCTCCTCCTTTTAATGCTGAAAAATTTCTATTTTTTTCCCTGAATCTAATTAAGCCTGAATTATCTGATTTCTTAACTAATTTCACATGTTTGATATTACTACTCATGGTTTGGATTAGAACACCTATAGATCACCTGTATTTAATATTTTTAAATGCAGGTGATCTTACAATTAAATACAGGTGATATTTTAATTTATATTTTACACTCTTGTTAGTTAATGTGAGCTATTATTTAAGAATATAAATTATTTTATGTATTTATTATTTCAGATCATTTTATTTGATTTATGCTTCAGGTTGCCTGGGGACCTTTAGATTATTTAATAATAGATATGCCACCTGGAACTGGTGATACACAGCTTTCAATATCTCAGAATATTCCAATATCAGGTAAATTTAAAGTATTTTAGCTGTTAAACATTTTGAAATCATGCACAGTATATATTTAATAATAATTTTTATTAGTAAAATTTTTATCAGTTAAATCTTAATCCACCAAATATTTTATAAGAAACAAAGTTTGATTTCAGATTTTGTCCAAAAATAGTTTAATCTGTCTTTCAAAGTTTACTTAAAATAAAAAACTCATGAAAAGTGTGTTTCCAACACATCAAAATAGCAATAAAAATTTATAAAAACAACTATAAACACAAACAAAGAACACAGCTGAAGTAATGTCTTAAATTAAAACATTAAAAGAAATCAGCATATTACAAAATGCAAGATAAATATATTACAGATACAATACATTAGTCATAACAAGAAGAAAATATCATTTATTATGTGAAGTTCATATTAAATAATACAATATTAATTTTCTTTATAAACTAATAATTATTTCAAACGGATGAAAAAAAATAACATCAGCTCTTGGATTCATTTACTTCATTAACCAAAAATCTGTAATTCTCAAATTTTTTTGTGGTCTGATGTTAGTTCACAAGAACGTAGAGATCAAATGAAAGATTATCTTTTCACCTGATCTCTACATTCTTCTCTAAAATTTTTCAAACTGATATTTACTGTTTAGTATTACCAACCTTTTTGCCAATAATTAATTTCTTTTATGCTCTTTTAATATTAAAAAATATTTCTGATATACCATATTTACTTGAATATAAGATGATCTCG